GTGGAGAGCTTTGAAGCGACGAAATGCATGGAGATTGGAAACGTGGCGCTTTCTCACGAAAAGGCCGTTAGATATAGGTTATTTTTGATTTAGTATAAATAGAGTCTTAGTAGTTAGGATTCAGTATGTTCAACTTGTACAAAAAACTCTAAATTTCCTCTAAGTACCTGTGTGTGAGAAAAGAGTGTTCTTGAGTGAAAATGTACGTATGAACATCACATTTTACACTTTTTATCATATAATTTAAGATTCTTGTAACTTACATTTGATGCAATTTAAGATCTTGTCATTTACTTTGAAGCCTTTACTTTGTAATCTTTACTTTTCTGCATTTCCTTAAAGAATTTACAATGTTTCATTAACAACTTTAAGAATATCGTCGAAATGTTCATACCTGACAAACTCAAAAACTAAATAACAACACATGTTCTAGGATCAATCTAGTCGATCCTGTAAGTGACTAAGGATTTAATAACTTTGGAGGACAAGCGGTTGTTTACCAATTTCGACGGTAAATAGTGAGTAATAGCCTGTTTAGATTGGCATTTAATTTATCGTGTCCCAATGCACTTTCAAACGCGGAAATGATAAGCTACAAAGTGTAGCTTTTGGTTGACGTGTGTTTTTGACTATTTCAAACACAGAAACAAACAAGCTATGAGTCTAGGATAGGATTTATAGTCCCGAATCCCTATTTATAAATCACTAAAACTAATCATAATCATTATCATACCAATATGAAATAACCGTCTTAGATAAAGATAAGAATATTAAGATTTGGTAATCAAACTAGTCTCTAATGAATGACAATCTTCTTACTATGATAGAAGTCACACGCTTATAGCATGTCACTGCTTATCACCCATACTCATGGTTAACACCTTATAATTCTAACGTTCTTGATAATTAAATGCTTAGTTGTATATGTTTTTTTTGTTTTGAAAAGGCAAGCTAAATATATTAAAACCAAACTGGCATAAGCAACGCCAAACAGATACAAAGTCCAAAACTAATTAATATAACTACAAAACATAACTTACCAGCCAAAGCAATGCAAGAAACTATAAAGGCCAGCTAGCTAACACACGCAACCAGCTTGCACCTAAAACAACAAAACCAGACAAAAAACAGCAAACACCAGACCCCCAAAATCACCACTGCAGCAAACAAACCACCTCACCACACATTGCCCAGCTAGAACCACCAAAACTAGACAGCAGAAGCTACACCCCTCGACCTCCTGATGACACCCGACGAGCCAAAAACTATACGGAACCGCAACACCAAACCAGACAACAAACAACAAATAACCATAACAGGTTACACAAACTGAAGCACCTGCTCCCCCCTAAACTAAAACCAAATAGCAGCCTAAGCACTTCACGCCAACAACTCTGAAAAAATCCAGCGCCAACACCAACAAGGAAAAGAAACCTCTTGACCATACCTTAATTGTGGTTCCACCCTAAGCACTCATTTGGATGTGAAATCCATTGGTTTAGATCGTAATTGAATCCTTTGATCTTTGCCTTTAGCCACCTCCAAGACAGAACTTGAATGTCTTCAATGATGTTCTCTTTTCTTAGATTCGATGCTCTGAAAGTTACTTCATTCCTCCTCTTCCAGATGGTCCAAATGCACGCGTACCAAATTGATAAGGCTTTCTCTTTGACCTCTCCACCTCCATTAAATATTCCTGCAAAATGAGCGAAATTCTGCAAAGCTGAATTGTGAGAGACGAAATATATACGGATCCATCTTTGGAAAAATAAGATTCCTAGCAAATACAACTTAGTTAGAGGGGGTGTCTTAGTGGAATCTCAAAATTCATGCTCGTTCGGCTGTGGAGCTGAAGAAACTCTTCCAAAATAATTGAATACGCCTCTTTAACTGAATAAACCTTCCTATACCATTTCCATTCATCTTTAATACCCTTCCTGAAAGATATGTTAGCTAACCTATCCTTAATTTTTCCCACACTCTTTCTGTTTTCCTCATTTAAATGAACCCTCCCAGTGACTATTCCATCGAACTCCCATACTGTAATTCCTTATCACCTCACTCACTGAGATGTCTTTATCAATTGCCACCCTATACAAGTCCGGGTATGTCTCCTTTAGGCTCATCCTCTCTAACCAAGAGTCTTCCCAGAAATATATTTCTCTACCGTCGCCTATAACTTTTATTAAGTTCTTCCTAAAACTCCCGTTCATCTTGTCGATCGATTGAAGGTCTCTCCACCATAAAGAGTTGATATTGTCAACTTTGTTTCCATCCATACCTTTCACCCCATACTTGCTTTCCATATTGTCATCAAGATTTTTAGTGTGCATCTTGCTCCAATCTTTCAATTTTCCTTTGATCAATACAGCTTTGTACACAGTTTGGCCATTGTTGCATCCAACCTTCTGATACAAGGAATCTGTCGATTCGACTCATAGAGGAGCCGTCCAAATTTGACCAGGTAAAGCGCCTTCTTTCAGCAGCAGATCAACGAGGTCAGCCTCTAATATAAAATCGCCAAAACCTTTCATCTCTGCTCTTCTATGGTAAGATCCAACACCTTTCCTTATCTGACCAAATCATGTTCAAGTCGCCCATTATACACCACCTTGCCTCCACGTCTGAAGCTAACAGCTCCCTAAGCTCATTCCACAGCCTCCTCTGTCCGCTTATATCACAAGGCGAATACACATTCACTATAGAAACCTTTATTCCTTCCGCTCCCCACACCCCTTTAACGCCAATGAAGTTATCTCCCTGACAATCTTCGTGTTTCTTAAAAAAAATTTTGTTCCATAACATTAACAACCTTCCTGATCTTCCTTCAGCATCTTTATAACATAATCTTCCGTCCTTTGTTCATTAATGATCACATGGGGCTAACGTATTATGGAGGTTTGTTTATTAAGGACTTAAGAATAGAAAATCTAGGGGATTTAAGGAATTAGTAGTCATATTGAATAGTAGGATTAAGCAACAGGACAATTTAGAGTACTAAGGAGAAGCAACGACAATCTCATCTTTGACATAATTTATCATATTAAATTTCAAAATCGATCAAATTTATTATTTGTTTAAATTTTAGACTCCAACTTTATTCAAATACCTTAAGCCTTTTGTTTAAAAGAAAAATAACACGAAACTCAATAATTATCAACAACTTTTGAGTTTGACACTAAGAATTTATTGATTTTATTACTTTTCGTGATTTAGTACACTGGCTAATATCACAATCAAGGTATAGAAGAAGAAGAGAATGATAAATAATAACAAATATAGACTTCAAAGATTAAATAAGAACACACATGATTTTATCTTAGTTCAGCCAAAACCCCAAGGCATACATCCAGACTCAGAGAATAAACCTTCATATTTATCCTATCATAAAACTTTTAAAACAAGATCAACCCACAACTTTTTTACATCAAAATTTCACAATAAATTCAACTTCCAACCTTCTTACAACAAATTTTTTTTAAGCTATATTCAATTATTTTAGTTTTTTTTCAATATAACTTTTATAGTATTACATATTAAAAATTAAGTAGAATATTTTTTTCATTTTACTTTAACTTTTGTAGATGTTTTAATTTCATAAAAATCACTTAATTTGAATTTTTTTATATACATAATTTTTAAAAATATAGACAAAAATATTGTTTGTTTAAGTTATTTTAAAATATTAAATTAGTCGTTTCTGTTTTTTTTTAAAGCTTTGTTCATTTATGTTAAATAACGTTTACGTCATTGATCTTTTTTTTAACGCTTTGGTCCTTTATGTTAAATAACATTTACATCATTGACCTTTTTTTTTTAAACGCTTTGGTCCTTTATGTTAAATAACGTTTACGACATTGACTTTTTAAAAATCACTGTTACAATAAATTACAAATTCATATACTATTTGAATTGGTTTTTCACACTTATCACAAATATGTAATTAAATTTGCGTTTGATTATATATTTTGATCCGATCGAACAATTTTTCATTATGTATTTGTCCATTTTTTTCCCGTTTTCCCGGATTTTCATGAACCGTAACTTGTTTAATAAATTTGATTTCATATTCGTGATCAACACAAAAAACCAGTTCAAATGATCAACGACGCAAACGATACTTAACATAAAGAATTAAATCGTTACAAAAAAACTTAAAGGACTAACTTGATATTTTAAAATAACTTAAATGACTTATACAATATTTTTGCCAAAAAATATATGATTTTAACTGTATTTTAATCTTCAATAATATATATTTATATTACAAATGCCAAAACTAATCTTTTAATTTATAAAAAATTAATTTGAAATAACTTCTATTATTTTAAAAAAATCATAAAAATTATATATTCTTTAAATATATATTTTAAATTTATAACAAACGACCCTATATTTATTGAACTTTGATTGGATTACGATTGGTGTTTGAAAATTGCATTATATTTCCCCCGATTGCTATTATGCTTTTGTGCTTTTTCCTAGACTATCCGTATTATTTACTGCATTTGGTTCTGCTCAACAAATAAGATTACATATAGTACTGGCCAAGACATATAGAACCTGAATTTTTCCATACTTTGGTTTGATAACAAAATTGGTATTATCTATCACAGTAGGAGAGGACTCGGTTTTACCCATACGAGACTACAAGGAACACTGTTTGTGTTGTGTTTAGGATAAAATGGAAATAAACTTTTCATAAGTTCCCCTTTGAAAAGTTTAAGATTCAAAAGTATAGACAATGTTACTTCCTTTGAATCAGACAATGTTGTAGCACTTGACAGATAACTTAGTTGCTGTATTTGTTACAGAAGCAATAAGTTATAATCGAAGGGTAACAGTATATACTAGAACCGAAAAACCAGCACAATTAGTGAGAAAAATTTGATAGGAGCAATTATGAATCGCGCATTTGTTTATAAAATACACTGTATGGCACAAAGTTAGTAAAAAAATGATTTCCATACCCCCAATATTTTTAATAAGTGCTTAATATTTCAAGTCAACATGAGATCGTTACCATCTAGGTTGCCACCGAGATTAGGACGGAGGCAAACACGGACTTCATGCTCTTCTGATCCTGGACGAAGTTTAGGCACCATGATCTCAAGCACTGATCCTGGTCCGTCATAGTACGCTTCAATGTTGGCATCTTCAGGAATGCGAGTCAAAAGAGGGATTTCTCGAATAAATTCTCCAGGGGGGCAGTGCTCTGAGGATAGATCTGTGAGCTTGAATGTCCTATCACTTCTCTTGATAAATGGCTTTCGCGATGTACTCACACAAGAAACTTTTATGATACCGTGAGTGAGAGTATTCCTCCAAGAAACTTTGACACTAGGAAGATCCACAAAAGGCAAACTGATAATGATCAAGTAGCCTTGTTCATCTTCGTAAATTGTTTTTGCAGCCGTAGCCGGTCCACAGACGTTCTTCATCACCCCGCTAAACTCATTCAACCAGTGTTGTTCACTAGGGTGCATTTCCAAATCCGGAATCCGATCAGATGAAGGATTAACAGACAAATAACATTCTTCATCATTACCTGTAAGAAAAAAGTCCTTCCTTTTCTTGCTACTGATAGGAGACAAGTCAGCCGCATCACCGTTCGACATATGAGTAGATAAATTCAGCCCAGATTCATTGAGCAGCTTCTTCGAGTGAGGCACTGGAGCACTCTTGATTGGGGGAGGTGGTCTCTCAAGCTCAAAATCTGTGTTGGGAAGATTCCTCCATGAGCTGAAATCGCTTGCTTCAACCGGAATTATGAAATTCAAATCACGGCCAGTGAGTTCCATCCACTTCTTCTGCTCATCCCTGTCAAGACTTGAAAGATTAGGCGACGTAACAACTTCAATACCATGCAAACACTGAGGATTTGAAAGTCCTCTGTAATGCTTCCTTTGCATCCTATGAGACCGAACAAAACCCTTGTCAACACTAAAAGGAAATGGTCGTTCCCCTTGGCGAGAATGTCCGTTCATGTAACTCCTCAGCTGCATCTTACCCAACGCATTCTCCGGCCTCTCCTTAAAAACCCACATATACATATTTTCCAAATCATGCTGAACCATAAAAACATCATTATTCAGATCCGTTTTATCAAACCCCGAAACACCATTGTTATCATCCCTAACAACTTTTGCCTTCGATTTCTCAAGCAAAACGGGCTTAAAATAAAATCTGAAAAAAAACCAAGCACCCCAGATGCTATCAACACGCTTCGAGCATTTCTTTACCGCTTTCGGAAGGTTAAGCAAACTCTCCGTCTCATACCCTCCTTGAGTACCAAGTCCAACATCCAAAATATCACAAGGATCAGAACTCCACGGCTGCTGCGCAGAAAGGGGCAAATTGATATCCGGCGGACGAGAGAGTATGATCTGTCTATTCATCTCCAAATCAAGCTCATCATGAGAACATGCACTTGAATCCATTGACAATAGTGTTGAAGGATGATGATGGTTCTCCATTGAGAGACAACACGTGAGAAGAGAACCACCCATTGAATTACCTCATATGGTTTATACTTTCACAATGTTGCCATCCAAATTCCAGAATCAAATTCAACAAAATAACCTTACAAACACCATCAACATTCATATCAATACACATAACAATAACAACCCCATCAATAAAATTATGAAACCCTAGATTTATGAATCAGATAATACTAATACATAATACACACCAACCATAAAAAATTAAAATGAAAAACAAAATTAAAACATTTTAATCACTAATTATAATACAAATCCCAGCATATATTGTTGATTTGTATCAAATTATTACACAAATACACACACTGTTCTTATTTTATTTTTCTTAATTAATAATTAAAAACAAAGATTACAGAAAAAAATGGAGGAAGATCTTGAAGAAGTACCTTTGAGAATGAGAATCGAAAAACGGAGAAGAAGAGAAAGAAACAGCGTTGGGGAAGATTATGAACTTCTCCATCATAACATTGAATTTTCTACCCTAGTTTTTTTATTGACCAAAAGAGAAAATATTAATATAATTTAATTAATTGTTGAAGTTGCGAAAAATGAAAAATGAAACGATAGAGATTGGAAAGGGAAGAAGCAGAAGCGTGATGAAGCGTCTCTCGACAAACGAACCGAAACAAGTTCCGTAGGGATTGGGTTTGGCCTGCTTTGATAGTGAACCGGGCTTATTAATTGGACCTTCCTTCGTTTATCCATTACTATTATTTTTTATTTTTTTTTCTTGTTCTCCTAACAATGGTTTAGTGAAAGATTAATTTATTAATTTAGGAATTAGGTAATCAGATATTTAATTAGTTCAAGAGATTTTATGAAACTCATATATATATATATATATATATATATATATATATATATATATATATATATATATATATATATATATATATATATATATATATATATATATATATATATATATATATATATATATATATATATATATATATATATATATATATATATATATATATATATATATATATATATATATATATATATATATATATATATATATATATATATATATATCTTTGTCCACACAAATAATTAGTAATTTAGATTTGGATGTAGGGTTAAAAACAAAGTATACCTCTTAGAAAAACTATAAAAATAAAAAATAAAAAATAAATCTAATGTATATGTTTGATAAAATTATACTCCATTTGATCCTTAATAAAAAATAAAGTTTGTTTTTAAGATTTAATTAATATTTTGATTTATATATCGGGTTAGATATATTGATATTAAATAAATCTTTAAAAAATTGATATTAAGAATCATAGAGTAATGTGAGACATTGGATCGAACTCTAGTGTGGTCGAAGTCTGTTCGCAAGTAATGCGTGTTGTAGTCGAAGTTTGTTCTAACATGCGTGAGTAAATATTGCTAAGGTTGTTAGCATGAGTAAATATTGCTAAGGTTGTTAGCATGAGTAAATTGTTTAAGTTAGCTTGTACCCTAAGTTAGCTTGTAATGGGTAATTGTTAAAAAGCCCATTAGGTTAGTGTGCTATTTTATTATAAATAGGATGCTAGTTTCTCAATCTTGATAATAAGGAAAAATAGGAAGATAAAATCCTAATTTCAAGGGAGAAAGGTTATTTTGTTATTCTTGTATACTTGTAATCTTGTTCTAAGAAAAAGGAAAGAATAACAGTTTAATAACCAATCCTTGTTCCTTGTTGTTTTACCTTGTTTTCTTTGTTAACCCTAACCCTTGTGTGTTTCTTGATTATTGAGAAACCGTGTATACTTTGTTTAACGGTATCCTATTCACAATAAATTGGTGCGGTGAGCGTGGAGAAGATGCCTTCAACAAAGTATGAGATTGAAAAGTTCATTGGAGTGAACGACTTTGGTCTGTGGCGCTTGAAGATGAAAGCCCTATTGGTTCAGCAGGGTTGTTTGGAAGCGTTGAAGGGTGAGGCAGCCATGGACGTTGCGTTAACGGCAAAAGAAAAGAAGGGCATGATCGAGAAAGCCCACAGCGCAATATTATTGAGCCTTGGTGATAAGGTTCTTCGACGGGTATCAAAGGAGACTACAGCATCGGGATTATGGGTGAAACTTGAAAGTTTGTACATGACCAAATCTTTGGTGAATCGACTATACCTGAAGCAAGTTTTATATTCATTCAAGATGAGTGAAGACAAAGTGTTGGCTGAGCAGTTGGATATGTTCAACAAGCTGATTCTTGATCTTGAAAATATTGATGTGAAGATCGATGATGAAGATCAAGCACTATTACTGTTGTGTGCTTTGCCCAGAACACATGCTCACTTCAAAGAAACTCTCTTGTATGGAAGAGAGTCCCTGACCTTTGAAGAAGTTCAATCAGCCTTGTATTCTAAGGACTTGAACGAACGAAAGGAGCATAAACCTTCGACGGTGGGCGAAGGTTTGGCCGTTAAGGGAAAATTCTTGTGAAAGGATGGTAAGTTCAACAAGAAAAAAGGTAAAAGTCAACAGACGTCTTATAGTGGCGAAACATCTAGTATTCGATGTTACCACTGTAAGAAGGAGGGTCACATAAGAAAGTTATGCCCTGAACGCCTGAAAGATCATGAAGGTAATGGCAATGCAGCCATTGTTCAAGATGACTTTGACTCATCTGATGTTCTTGTGGTTTCAAGTGGCGACTCGAGGAAAGAGTGGATTATGGATTCAGGTTGCACTTGGCACATGACTCCAAACAGAGAATTGTTCGAGGAGCTATGTGATCAAGATGGTGGATCTGTGCTGTTAGGAAATAACAAATCTTGCAAAATTGCAGGTATTGGATCTGTGAGATTCAAGCTCCATGATGAGTCAATAAGGTTATTGACTGAAGTCAGGTACGTACCTGACTTGAAGAGAAATTTGATTTCTCTTGGTGAATTCGACAGAAAAGGATATGTTTTTCAAGGAGAGAAAAGTATCCTAAGAGTCATGAAGGGGTCGAAGGAAGTCTTGAGAGGCGTGAAGAAACAAGGCTTGTATACCCTTGAGGCTGAGGTTGTAAGTGGTTCGACAAATGTTGCATCCACGAAATCTATGTCGAAGACAGAATTATGGCACATGAGATTGGGCCATGTCAGCGAAAGAGGCCTGGTCGAATTGGGGAAGCAGAACCTACTAGGAGGTGACAAAGTCGAAAAGTTGGAATTTTGTGAATCTTGTGTATTTGGTAAATCCTGTAGGGCGAAGTTTAACAAAGGCAAGCAAAGAACACACGGATCTCTGGATTACATTCATGCTGATCTTTGGGGGCCTGCAAGGAATCCTTCACACTCAGGTGCAAGGTATTTTCTATCCATCGTTGATGACTATTCCAGAAAACTATGGGTATTCATTCAAAAGACGAAGGATGAAACTTTTGAGAATTTCAAAAGTTGGAAGATTCTAGTCGAAACTCAGACTGGCAGAAAGGTTAAGAGGTTGAGAACCGACAATGGCCTTGAATTCTGCAACGAAGCTTTCGACAGTTACTGTGTTGGGTCTGGGATTGCAAGGCATAAGACTGTAGCAGGTACTCCTCAACAAAATGGCTTAGCTGAGAGATTCAATCGAACAATCCTTGAAAGGGTTAGATGCATGTTGGTTAGTGCTGGATTGAAGAAGGTGTTTTGGACAGAAGCTGTTTCGACAGCAGCTTACCTGATAAATAGATGTCCCTCGACTGCCTTGGGAATGAAGACACCTGAAGAAGTTTGGTCGGGACATCCACCTAGTCTCGACAGACTGAGAGTATTTGGCTGTGTGGCCTATGCTCATATTAGGCAAGACAAGGTCGAACCTAGAGCTCTGAAATGCATGTTCATGGGATACCCTGAAGGAGTCAAAGCTTATAGGCTATGGTGCCTAGAGCCAGGTCACAGGAGGTGTATCACCAGTCGAGATGTAGTTTTCAACGAAGTAGAGATGGCTTTCAAGAAAACTGATGATGCTGACGAAGAGCTGGAACAGGGAGAGATTCCTGTTGAGGTGGAGCATGTTGATGCTGAATTGCTTACCCCAGATGAAGTCGAAGAAGACACAGAAGATGTTGTCGAAGATGAGGAGACTGATAATGACTACCTGCTAGCAAGAGGCAGGTCGAGGAGAGTCATCAAGCCACCTCAGAGACTTGGGTATGCAGATCTTATAGCTTATGCCTTAATCTCTGCAAGTGAGGTTCTAGACGAAGAACCTAGAGACTATAAGGAAGTTATGAGGAATCAAAAGAAGACAAATTGGTCTTTGATGTATGCTATGGTCTGTACTAGACCCGACATAGCATATGCAGTAAGTCTTGTAAGCAGGTACATGGCGAATCCTGGAAAGGCTCACTGGCAAGCATTGAAGTGGATTTTAAGGTACATAAATGGGTCTCTGAATAGAGTCCTAATTTATGGTGGAGTCTTGGGTGATGATAGTAAAGCAGTAATCGAAGGATATGTCGACTCTGATTATGCAGGTTGTATGGATTCTAGAAAATCTATCTCCGGATATGTGTTCACTATGTTTGGGACAACAATCAGTTGGAAAGCAACACTTCAGAAGGTCGTTGCCTTATCAACCACTGAAGCGGAGTATATTGCTCTAACTGAAGCTGTGAAGGAAGCATTGTGGCTTGAAGGTTTTGCAAAGGAGCTAAAACTTCAAGGTCGAGTTATCACTGTTAAATGTGATAGTCAAAGTGAAATACACATGTCGAAGAATTCAGCCTATCATGAGCAAACCAAGCACATTGATGTGAGGCTGCATTTCATCAGAGGGGTAATCGAGCGTGGAGAAGTCCAAGTGCTGAAAGTTTCGACAGATCATAATGCTGCTGATATGATCACCAAGACATTGCCCGGTTGCAAGTTTTTCCACTGTATGCAGTTAATAAATCTGCATGAAGAAAGCTAGTTTCTTGATGTTATAGAGTTAGATCCAAGGTGGAGATTTGTGAGACATTGGATCGAACTCTAGTGTGGTCGAAGTCTGTTCGCAAGTAATGCGTGTTGTAGTCGAAGTTTGTTCTAACATGCATGA